GTCTTACTAGCACAGGGCCAGTAAGCGAAGTCCCAGACACACTATCAAAGGTATTGACTCTAAGGAGGGCGCATACAGCCCTGTCGCAGATATTTACAGGTCACGTTCCGACGCTACATCCGGTCTCCACTTTTCTCAACAACAGGAAATGTTTCTGCCCGCTCGGATGTGAGCTCAACATACTTAATAGTGTAGACCATTTCGTTCTTAGATGCCGCCGAAGAGCGGCATCCCGGACTCGAGAGCTCCCGCCTCTCCGAGAGAGGCAGGGCTCTGATGCCGAATCAATAGTAAGGACATGGCCAGAAAAGGTGTCGGTATATCTAGAGAGAGAGGGGTTCTTCTCAATGTAACCCCTACCGTAGTCTTGGAATTAGAGACGCGAGCTCATGTAAACACACGCACACACTAGCTCGTGTCCCTAATTCAAAGACTACGGTAGGGGCTATTCTGAGAAGAAATCCTCTCTCTGAACATAAACCAGTAGCTTTTCTGGCCATATTCTTATTGATGATTCGACGTCGAGAACTTGCCTTTCTCGAAGAAGAGGAAGCGCTCTTCTTTTTTCTTCTTCTTTACGGGCGCACAATACCAAATTGGGGCACTGTGGTAGAATCTAACACTACACGAGAGCTATTTCTCGTCTCGCGCGCCAAAGTCTATCCATCACGTGAAGCTCATCGAAGAAGAAAGGTTTCTCTGCCCCGTTGTATCAACTTTCATGTATGTCACCAGAATGTACCCGATGACTGCTGCTTGACCAGTCCATCTATCGCCTGTCCGTCGATCGTCTGGGCGGGCGGCATCAAAGAACGAAATGGTCAACATTATTTTCAGTATTGATCCCGCATACAAGCGAGCAGAAACAGCAATGTTTCTGCTCGCTTGCATGCGGGATCAATGTTGTGGTATATGTGACTGTGTGTGGCTAGTGGCCCATGGGACTGGTAGAAGATAGACTCGGTGGTCTTGAAAATGAAAAGTTTCTTAGCATGGTTAGATTCCATCACAAAACCATAATTGAGCGACGTGCGCCTACATAAACAACAACTACACAGAATCCCCATATCCTAAACAGTCCACGGGCTGAGAGATAGCACCCGTCTACGAGGTCAGTTTTACGAAGAATACCTGTTGCTGATCCATCTCGCTTCCTCTCAGAGCCAGCACTACGGACGATTTGCCCATTGTGTCGTACTTGCGGCACAATGGCCGTAACCTTGTAGATTTTGACTTCTTTCATTTCGAAGGGGACACTCACTACAGTACTGCGCCAGGGACACAATCGCCGTACCGACTACTTGGAAGTTGAGCAGCGGTTAAGAGTTTAGCGTCTGTTTCATACGCCTCTGGACGAAGGAACTTCCTTGAGGAACATGGCCCGGGTGACGCCATTGATCTCTTATTTGAAGCCTTTGACTGCATGGAGACTGACGTAGAGGATGATCTGTCATCATTTGCAGACCTGGGATGTCGTGAAACTCGCCCGGGCGAAATGGGTGAAGTTGCAGCTGTCGTAGCTCATCTCAAGTGCTGCAGTGCCAAGTCGCTTTTTGCTGGATTAGAACTGCGCTGAGGGATCACGCGGGAACCGCCAGTGGCCCCACTATGGGCACAATGCATTAATCTACCCGTTATGATGTGCCGACCTTCCTGCTGATGCGAACCAGGAGGAGGCAGAATGGATCCTCAACTGGGGTTGCCTCCAGAACTTGGCCTTCTCGGCAGAGACTAGCTTCTTAGAGAGTTGGTACGTCAAAGTCGGAGTTAGGCTTTGTCCGCTCAAGGTAAAACAACAACTGCAACAACATCCACACCAGACCGTCATCTGACAGACTTGAGCAAACTGCGGCTGTCAATAAAGGGAAGCCTCTATGTCTGTGTTCTACGAAGTCTGAGTACTGAGGGCTTCGTCTGGAAGAAGCTCTTTCAAATTAGTTGGGCCTGGATTCTCGCACCAGCCACTCTTTCACCGCGTCTGCAACCTCGAAACTCGTCGCTCCTCGAAAGGAGGCAGCTTGTATCAACAGCCAAATTTGCAAGTAATGATCCGCTGTCTCCGCAGTTGACCTGTATCCAGGGGTGCGTTTCAACGATGGAATTGCCATCGATGGCAATCCCAAGCTCAGCAAATTGCGATTGCAATCTTTGCAAGAGATTGCGATTCGACGGCATTCTCAGAAGCAATCTCCAAATCAGATTGCGCGATGGGATTTAGACCTGGTGAAGGAAGCGTTAAACCTTGCTAAGTAAGCAAACACTATGTTTGGAGTGCCGCTCTAGAGTTGGGCGATGGGTTTTGGGATTGCGTGTAAGGTAAAGAGATTGCAAACCGATGGAAATTGCTATTCGCAATGGGATTGCGTGATGGGATTGCTACTTGATGTAGCAATCCCTGTTCCATCGGATTGTTTCCACCCCTGCCTGCATCTCAACTGACAAATAGCTCTGTTACATCCCATACAGGTTTCGACGGGATGGAAATGTGGAATCCCATTTCGAACGTGCGCGGGTTTACCAAGTCGTGCGCAGGTGTTCAGCAAGTGGGAAACGCTCATATTTGAGGGAGATGTGGACGAAATGCGTCACGAGCGCTCGTACTTGAACAGAAAGTTTCAGTTCAGTTTACATTGTACTCAAGGCGGAAGTCATCAGTAGACATGGAAAGGTATGGTGGTAAGTAGGGGGCAGACGCAATTCTGTTCCTGCTGCGTACAGCGGAGGTATGAGTGACATGGCTTCCCCTTCATGGAGAGTAGCAACGACACTCTTTGTGCTTCTATTTGTCGAAAGCTACACGTCTGGGGAGCTTTCACCATAGGACGCCCCAGTCCTACCCGCGTACTGCAAACGTGCACTCTTGTTCACAGGTCATTCTTGTTGGTGTGCCTGCGGCGATTTACTTCACCTAAACAAAGATTTACAACTCTTCCTTCTCTTCATCTACAGTCTCCTTGGCTTCTTCTGAGGTTTCCTTCGTTTCAAAACCCTCCTTGTGGGTAGCGTTCTCCTTCAAGAACTTGACGAAGTCCTCCTTTGATCGGCCGCCCTCATATGGAACGCCTGTCTTAGATCCCGCGGCAAAGAAGTGAAGAGTGGGATATCCCCTAGCCTTATATTCCTTCGGAGCGTCGTTTGCGGTAGCGTCCATCTTGGCAATGACCAAAGTCTCAACGCCCTTGAGGTCTGATGCGAGTTCATCAAGAATAGGTGCAAGTTTCTTGCAGTGTCCGCACCACGGAGCGTATTGCTCAATGAGCACATCCTTACTCTCGTCTTCCACGATCTCGGTCCACGTGTCGCCGACGATGATCTTCACAGGTTCCTCATTGGTCTCTGGGATGGGAGCGGACTTGATGGTAGCGGACACGTCTCCGGTCACGAACTTGTCAATCCATGCCTTCAGTGCCTCCTTGGAGTAATCCCCGGAGAACACGTATTTCTGATCGGACTTGAATTCGTAGATGACAATAGCTGGGTCTTTGTCGGCAACACCAACGTGTTCCGCAAAGCTCTTGAGATCGACACTGTTGATCCAGGTGAAGGCCAGTGCACCGCTGGAACGGTGAGACTTGGCGATTTCGGTAATATCGTCGTTCACGTCCTTGTTCTTCTTCTCCGGATCTTGGAACAGGATGAAAACAGGCTTGTCAAGCTCTGTGTACAAGCCAGCATTGTCACGGCTGAGCTCAGCGTACAGAGGAAGAGATCCCACAGATGCCCATTGTTCAAAGGCGTCAGCATCATCGGAGAAGACATCAGTTGATTCATCATCACGAACAAGAAGGACAGAGTCGGCTTCAAGGTCCTTTCCAGCAAGCTCTTTAAGAAAAGCGGTGTCTTCCACGGAGGCGAAGGCAACAGAGTCGGGGCTCACGTCACGGAGAGACATGCTGGTCTTCTTGAAGATGGGCTTGAGCTTATCAAGCTTAGCGGCAATGAAAAGAGCCTTGCCCTTGTTGTCCGCAACGAACTTGGCGAGCTCATCGGCATCAGCGCATTCCACAGCGTACGGGAGAAGTGCACGCTCGATGTACTTGATGAAGTCGTCCTTGGTACGACCGCCCTTGTAATCAGAGATGACCTCACCTTTGGAGAAGAGCTTGAGGGTGGGGAAGCCGCGGATTTCGTACTTTTGGGCAAGATCTTTCTCGACGGTGGCATCAAGATCGACAAGCGTCGCCTTTCCCTTCAGCTCAGTGGCAGCTTCCTGGAAGTCGCCAGCCATCTTCTTGCAATGGCCGCACCAAGGGGCAAAGAACTTGACAAGGGTAAGTTCCTCACCGGCGATGAGGGAATCAAAATTGTCTTTGTTACCGACGACGACATCGTCCGCAGCGGAAACTGCGACAAAGAAGGCCAAGGCGGCAAAGACTGTGAAGGAGGACGTTCGGATCATGATGGTAGGAGTAGAAGGTGTAGAGAGACTGTACCCGAACCAGGAAGGCAACTGCGACGAGGGACGGTAGCGGGGTTTAGATGCTTTTGTAGGAGACGGCAAAGGATCATCGCATTGCGTGACAGAATTAGCGATCAAGCATGTTGATTGATTTTCGTGACAGACCCACTATTTTGCGTTGGAGGGGAACCGCACTTCGCCGAAAGGGGGTGCACAAGGAGCACTATGCGGGACTGGTGAGCAAAATGACTGCAGTACACGTAGGGATAAGTGGACGAAACGGCACGCTGCAACAAACGTACTGCGTAAGGTTAATTTCCGGCAATTTTTTTTGACTTCACCGATGAACAATCCCTCAACCGGTGCCGGCGCAGCCGAATGCTCACAATTAATTGGCCGGCAAAACAATCCAGATCATGCGCTGCTCTCGAAAAGGCGGTGACGAGAACTTTCAGCGCTGCTTGGTCCGCCGCGTCACGCTGTGTACAAAGCACCAATACCGTCAAGTTAATTGCTGTCAGCTTCATAGATCTTCCAACACCAAGCCTCTCTGTTCTTAATAAATACCTTGTTATCCGCTTCGATACCTACCATTCAACCGCTCTCGGTAGCTCAGTTGGCAGAGCATTTGACTGTAGTTGTTCCAGTGTGATCAAAATGTCCCTAGTTCGATTCTAGGTCGGGAGAGAAACGGTTCCACTTTTTTCTTGCCCCTGACAACAAGCTCAACAGTGCCACTGCTTTGTGGTGCGAAGTTTGTACACGCCACCACTGCGCGTGGTACAGTATCTTACGCTACTCCCCCTCTTATCTACGCCCTGTTGTTGAGCGGTTGTACCGCTATCAATCTGCCCGGCCAAGACGACGAGGGAGCTCGGCGATGGCCTCTTTCCCAATCGATGCGCTTGTTTTTTCGAGGGACAGAAGCATGTGCAATCGCAAACACACCATTGCGGGACAAGTGAACATGTACACTGTTACCGAACGGTACGCCTAATGCGATCCGCCTTCACGCGGTGTGCCTGACTTCCCTTCTCTTTATGGAAGCGAAACGGATCCGCAGTTGGGTCTCCAAAGGAGGCCAACATATATCTGTTGGTCTACCTTGTGAGAGAACGTTGCTTTGAACGGAAATGATTTGCGCTGTGTAGGCACCTATAAAAAGAGAGAGAGAGAGAGGCCTAATACCAAATCTGTAGGGATACATAGCTACCATGCACTCTTCGTAACGCATGTAACACGAGCCTCACTACAGCAATCGTAACTGATCGCTTTAGAAATGCAAAAGTGCAACAGACCACAATCCTGTTCTCGCCTCTTTCTTCAGTGCGACGGTTTGTTTACCAACTCAGTACTGCACACTAATATCGGAGCATAGGTGCCTTCACTCGCCTGCCCTGCTCCGTACGCAAACGGGTTAGCATAAGCCTGATTCAAAACTGATTTCTAGCGTTTATAAACGCCGTCCGCCTTTTATGGGGTAACCCTTAACCGTTTGGCCTTGCTTTTCCACCTATGAAGAAGATCTGCGCTAGTCTTACAACGCACACTTCTACTGGAAGCATCCTAACTCGCTAAGTTTTTGGTGAGCCACCTTGTAGTCTTCAAAGAAAACATCTTGATCTGCGGCGTACTTCTCACACAGAGCCTTCGTTTCTGTGCTATCAAGGAGAGCCAGATCGCTAGTCAAACGCAGAAGATCAGGATCAGGTTCATCCTTTAGGATTTCAACGTAGTACGAGTTGTCAAACACCACAGGAATCTTTGTCCACGGGCCATCAAAGCCAGAGCGCTCAGGATGCGCACGGCCCAAAGTATGGGCGCCACTGAGAGTGGTGATCTCCAAATCGTTAAAACCCATACGGTAGAAGATGTCCCGAAGATGATTCATACCCTTGTCAGCATCCGGTAGCCTTCCATCGGGTGTGCAGTCTGCTTCTGAAGCATCTTCTCTGCCCATTCGGAAAGGGATCTTTGGACCCCCCGAAAACTCAATAGCTTGTACGCTGGCCAGTTGGTACAGATCGGCGTATGACATGTTCGGGTATTTATCCTTAATTGGCTGAAGCAGATCCATGGCAATGTTGAGCCCACTGTTCGCACCGTGAGATTTTTCGGGGTTGAATCGAATGGAACCATTTGCACCGCCGGTCTTCTCGGTGGCGTTGTAGGTACCGGCATCATGCCACGCCAGACGGACCATGATTGGCATACATGGTGTCGTTTCGTAGAGTTTGTTGAGATCTTGACGAACGTCGTCTTCCAGAGATGCTTTTACGGTACTGAAGCGTCGGGTGATGTTGGGCAGACGGGGGCGAAGGGCATTTGCTCTGGGCAGAAAGGAAGTGCGTCGAGAGGATACCGCAGCTGTTGCGGGTGAAGAAAGCGAGCGCGATACGGAGCAGGGGGATATGAAAGCGTTCATGATGGGGGTTGAGAAGTTCAGTTGACGACGGAGTGACGACATCATGAGGTGTCTGAAGACGATTCGAATACGCGGGGGAGAGAGAGCAAGCAGAAGGATTGGGCTGCAGAGAAGACGGGAAGCAATGAAGGAGAATAATACTGCTCACAACGAAAGAGAAACGGTACACTTCCGGATTGCGATTTGTTTCAGATGTGTGTGGATTTCACAGACCGCTTCTCTGCACGTATCGACGGTACGAAGGTAAACGGGTTATCAACGGTACACAACGCAGACTTGGGTGTGATCGACAAACCACGCACACGAGTCCGCCTGTCTGGTCTCTCTGCTGCAACTTGAGCTCAGCCAGGCCCACACTCTGAGATCGTGCGGTAAGCCTCCAACGGTCGTCCGACGGTCCGAGAAATTCGTAGTAGCGAATCATTGCGTAGCTTTCAGAACCCTTGCGTCAACGGCCTTTCGCCAAGTGTTCTACGTATTTTTGGAAAACTTTGACCACTAATTCCAAAGCTTTGACACGGAAAACTGTGGGCTACAAAATGATTGCGCGTACTGCGCTGTGCGGCGATGACGACGTGGCGCAATGGAGACGAGAGTAAACCTATCTAGCTAGCCAGAGAAGTGTCACACAGCGTTCCATCGGCATGGATGCTGCACCTTCTTTCTCGCTTCTTCCCTGTTTGAGCGGGAGTACATCTTGATTGCGTCGCGCTCACACTCATAAAGAGAACTTTGACAACCAACAACAGTGCAACCAGTCATCTAAGTTGTTCACTTAACTTTCGTTCGCAGAGTAACTCAGCTAGCGAAGCGAATGTGAACAGTCGAAATGGTATTGGAACAATATGCAGGCCCTTTTCGCCCGACCCTTCTCCAAGGTGCCCGAGCTATCAGTCAACAGCTCAAAGGTCTTGGCGTTGATGTTCCACCACTCGATTTCATAATGGACGCAATCGTGATCACCGCAGTGTTGCTCCTTCTGTCTTTGCTGTTTATCCCACTTCGCTCCAAGGATAAACGTGATACGCTTTTGCTAGTGGGCATCTCAGGCGAATCTGATTCTCCCTCCGTGGGAAAAACGTCTCTCTTCACAGTACTTCGAGATGGTGTCTTTCCGAAGTACGGCACAGTCCCCTCCATGCAACCGAATCAAGCACAAATATGGTTACCAGCCACGAATCTTCTCGTCAATCTGGTTGATTATCCAGGTCATCCCCGCTTGCTGTACAAATTGACTGAACATTTGTCGCGCGCGAAGGGCATTGTATTCGTGGTAGATGGAGAAATGTTCACCGCACAAGCGCGACGCGACGCTGCACTTTTACACGACGTTCTTACAAATCCAGTAGTTGCAAACAAGGCAACCCCGGTTTTGATCTTCATCAACAAGACTGATGCTCAAAAATGCGCCAAGGAGGCCACTGTCAAAGTGCGACTACAAGCTGAATTAGACCGAGTTCGCACTGCTAGTGCGTCTAGACTACGATCAGTTGGAGCTGAGGGAAAGGAGGAAGGAGAAGAAGAGCGTGCATTTCTCGGTTTTGAAAACGAAGCATTTTGTTTCGAACACGCTGCTTCTCCGGTGTCAATTGCTTCAGGTTCTGCGCAAGAGCTAGATGTCGAGGGGATCCTGGAATTTGCGAGAAGCCATTTCTTGTGACGCGTCAATGAAGTCAAGGCTTAAGATTGCGATTAGGTTTTATGGCGCAAAGATCCGCTTTCATTTTTCGTCATTCATGAGCGATGCTAAATGTTCTTTCACTAACTTGAGTGCTTTGTAGCGGTGTGAGATCGAGTTCTTGGTGGCCTTTTCCATCTCGGCATATGTCTCTGAAAATCCATCAGGCTCAAAGATGGGGTCCCACCCAAAGGCAGGACCGTCTCCTTTAGAACGCGGAGGAACTATCTTACCTGGTGTGCGTCCGGAGAAAACTTTAGGCTCCTCACCCTCTTTGCCGCTTGAATACGCGAATGTACACAACGCGTATGCAGATTTGTCGTCGAAACCGGCCAGCATTTTGTTTAAACCATCATGGCCAACTTTCTCTAGGAACCACTTGATATATGGGCCCGGTAAACCGTTGAGAGCGTTAAAACAGAGGCATGTGTCTTCCACCAACTGTGTGAGTAGGGCGCATCGGGGCTGAGCGTTTAGTTTTGTTGTTCCTTAATTGTGCCTTGAGTGTGTGATGGATGAAAACGTACCGTTGGTCCACACACTTCCTTGGCGGCCAGGGCACATTTTTCGCGAGCGATATCTTCGACTTCACCTTGTAGTTCTGGGAGGTGGATTTTCTTTGCGACGATAGAGATGGCGGATTTGGCATCGGGATCTGATGCTAGGATCTGAGAAACTTCTTTAAGTTTGTTTTGATTTCCCGTGACAAAGGTTATTGTTGACAGTGTCATTCTGGGGAATGACAGATTTGTGGTTGCGCAGTTGGTCGTCAACTGTTTTGTGATGGTGCGGGAATGATAAGAAAATCGAAACGCTCTCAACGAGAAACAAAAGGCTGCGTCGAAGGAGGGGGAAGTTGAGCGAGGTGTCATGGACCGACCCTCCAGGATTGCTTCTGTTGTGGGTGTGAAATACAAGCGGTGTGTACAATAAGCGCGATGGACAGAACCAGTTGACTACAGTTAGAGGGGTAGGCACCCAGGTGGATCAATTCGGAATGAGCACAGCTGCGTCGCTCTCTCGTCCTGAACGACGAGCTTGTTTGTAGATACGAGGGCGCGATGGCGGTCGTCTGTTGGAGCGTTAGCTAACGCAGTATCCTAGCTAGCTAGCTAGATCCGAGGGATATTCGATGACCGTCTTGGGCATCTTCGGATCGGTGAACTGAACATGCAAAAGGATCACGCGCAACTGTCCGCTCTGTATACCGCGACGAAATGTAGATCTGTCAGTTGCCGTTGTGCCATCGAGGTAGCCGTGATAGCCCCTCCAGACTGGCGGTAGCCGTGGCCGTGTCCTGGGGCAACGCAACACAGTTGGGGGCGCAGGGCGGCTCTTTCCAAATGCGAACTGCGCGCGGGTTTGGCAGAAAGTTGAGTTCGCGCTTCCGCGTTTGCAGAGCAGACGCGAGCTGTGCATCTTGTTGACGTCACTGTTGTCCAGCGACTGCCGAACGCGCAGCTAGGTTATCCTGTCTGTGCACGCAGCTCTACGGAAGCCAGTCCAACTCCGATCGACCTGCGCAGCGCCACCGTCTTCAAGTTCATCGTCTCTCTACCACAACCTCTTCTCGCAAAACAAAGT